CGTATGATTCTCCACTTGTAAATTTGTTTTGAGGACTGGTGAAAGTGTTTCTCATCTCGTAAATTTGTTTCGTCGCATGTATATTTATTTTGGAACTTGTAAATTTGTTTCCGCGCTTGTAAATTTGTTTGGGCACTTGTAAGTGTGTTCGTTTTTGCTTGGCTTTGTTAATTTGTCTTGACTTCTGTAATTTTGTTTTCTGAAAAGTTAATTTGATTTGCCCTTATCGGCCACCGTACTTACCACCAGCCTGGGAAAGTTCTCCCCAGACACCACAGATCCCTGTGGCCTTCCCTACCCCCAGCTGGTTTACCACCTGTGCAATCTCAGTGAGATTCTCAGTGAGGGTAGTTCACAGCTAATCAAAGGATCAGTCTTAAGAATTGTGGACCCAGAGAATTGGAGAGTTCTCTTGGTCCATTTAATTCACAAAACAAATGATATGGAAAAAAAACAGTGCAATATTGGACGAGATACTCAGCATGCCAAATTATAGATTTACGTATACTTACTTTTGTATCGATACCAAAATTCCATCTGTAAAAGAATTATAGATTTTAAAAAGAGAAAATTAGTATATACATTTATCACAATTTTAGAAATGATCCCCAGTAGTTTCATAAAAATCATAATCTTACAAATAAGATCTTACTAATAATCTTAATTGTGCATGTGTGTTTTTAATACATGACAAAGTGTATAACCTGGGTTGAACCAATGTCCTCTATAATTGAACCAACGTCTTCTATAAACTAGTTTTTATATTAACAGCCAGCTGCATATAAGGCACTGCTCACCCTAAAGAGTCATATGGTAGTAATGATAATACAGTACATGTAATTATTATCACTTTTCAAGGATTCAATGGTTTTTATTTGTCACTTGCAAGGTACACAGTCAGACTATATCCTGCAATAAAATTATACTGTAAAAAATGAATAGACCAGAGATGTGCAAAATAGATCAAATAAAGTGTGACATGCACATAGTTAAGGTTAAGGTTTGAAATGCTCACAATGGATTTAAGAAAGGTTTGATGAGGCTGAGAACAGGATCTCAGCAGCTAAAGACTCGTCATTGGCACAGGCTAACCATCTTAGTGCCCTTCAGAAAACAATCAGTGAGCTTCAGTCTAAAGTAGACAACTTCGAAAATAGAGGCAGTCGCAACAATCGAAAAATAGATTTGCATGCCCAGACAGAGAAACTCCTTGTTCAGTCTCGAAAGTTCTAATCAGATAGAAAGATTCTATGGAAGCAGCGTGAATTTGACCCTGTTGGAAAGACTCACATGTACTGTGGTTTTGCTTACCCAGCTTGGCTGAGATGCCTTTACCGAGGGAAGCTACACCTGTTTGATGATCCCTAACTTGCAGAATTGTTCCTCAGAGACATCCAGGAGTAAGAGTTCTGTGTTCATGCACCAGACGGGATAAGCAACATAAATGTCTTTCTTTTTCACTGGTCTGACGGTGTTCAACTACAGTAATATCATATTTATGTTCTCATTGCAAGATGTCTCTCTGCACAAGATGGACACTAGTAGTAACTGCTACCTTTTTGTTTGCTTGTTGTGGTGTATTTGATGCCAACTTACTGGGAACTCATCAAAAGTTTTTGTGAAATTTGTTCAGTATTGAGGTGCTACTGATTTCTGAATATGTTGAGGTGCTACTGAGTATGTTGAGGTGCTGCTGATTGTTTTGTTATCTTTATGTAAGAGTTGGTATCTTTAATGAGCTTAATTTTTGGGGCAAGCTACAGGTACAATCAGATCACTCTCTGGTCAAAGGTATAATTTATATTGTGATTTTTATTAATGGCTATTTTGGTGACTAATTTGTCACTCCAGTGAACACGTCTCCACTGCTCTAGAGTCCAGTGTTTGTAGCTATTGACTTCTGCACACTGTGTGCCTCAGCATGCATTGCCCTCGCTCTGTGATTTTACGTGGCCTACCACTTCGTGGCTGAGTTGCTGTTGCTCCCAATTGCTTCCACTCTGTTATAATACCACTAACAGTTGACCGTGGAATATTTAGTAGCAAGGAAATTTCACAAATGGACTTATTCCACAGGTAGCATCCTATCACAGTACCGCGCTTGAATTCACTGAGCTCCTGAGAGTGACCCATTCTTTCGCAAATGTTTGTAGAAGCAGTCTGCATGCCTACAGTATGTGCTTCATTTTATACACCTGTGGCTATGAAAGTGATTGGAACACCTGAATTCAATGATTTGGAGGGGTGTCCCAATACATTGGCAATATAATCTCCCATTAAAATCTAGTGACCTATGTGCCCTACAGTATCTCTATGACTGCCTTTCAGAGATCAAAACATTGATAGCTCATAATCTTTTTCTCTTAAATTGGTAGAAAATAGAGTTTTTTTTTTATTTAGTCAAACCTTCTTGGCAAAGCTTGGTTAGCTGGCCCCATATGTTAACCATGGGCAAAAAATCTTGGAGTAATTTTTGATGCAGAACTGAAGTTTGATAGACAAATCAATTTGGTGGTTGAAAGCTTTTTTCAACTGAAGAAGATAGCTAAAGTTTCCTCTCTTCTTATGATCTTGAGAAAGTTATTCATGCTTTTATTTCTTTGTGCATAGATAATTGTATTGCTTTGTACACGGGAATCAGTCAGGCAGTGTTGTCCCATCTCCAGGGGGGTATTCCATGAAGCAGGCTTAAGAACATAAGAACTATACAAACGAGAGGAGGCCATTCGGCCCATCGAGCTCACTTGGGGAGAACTTAACTAATAGCTCAGAGTTGTTAAAATCTTATCTAGCTCTGATTTAAAGGAACCCAAGGATTCAGCTTGCACTATGTTATCAGGAAGACTATTCCATACTCTGACTACACGCTGTGTAAAGAAGGGAAAGTCTGACTTATTTCGACAAGAAGTCTTACTTAAGTGAGAGTTCCATTCCATCAACGTGTCTTAAATGAATCCCCACTGAATTACCATGGTAATTTAGGCCTGCGAACAAGCCTGGTCCGGACCAGGCTAACTGCCTTGCTTAGTTTAGCATTGTCTCAAAGAACGTCCGACGCGTGGGAACAGATTCCCAAAAGATCGTTCCGTCGGACGAAATTCTGCGATCTTACTATTCATGTCATGTAATCAGTTGAATTATATGTCCTCATCTGACATTATATTTTACATTATCTGATTGAATTTTTTTGTTAATCTGTAAGGTGTACCAAAATGACATGATTTTGTTTGAGTTAGCGGGAGAATGAGTCTTGTGTATACGTATATAAAAATTGGAACCCTGTAGTCAGTGCTGTGAGTAAAAGCAAGACGAGAAAGCAGAGAATAAGAACCATCTTTTCTGAAGTAAAGCTCTGCGTGATCTCAGAGCTGAGATTGCTACATAATCAATATAATAAAGCCTATAAAATCACGTCTTAGCATTCCAATTAATTCCAAAATAATTACAGTAAAATCCTGTTACAGTATAGTGGACTCGCTTATAACGGAGTATCATCCATAACGGACAAGGTCTGCTGGTCCCGGCCGTGCGCCTTTAAGAACATGCAGAAAAAGCATCGGATATAGCGGACTCGCATAAAATGGAATTTCGCTTTTAATGGACAAACAATTTGGTCCCCAGGGCCGCTTTTAGTTGTAGTTTTGTTCGGCTATAACGGACATGCAGTTCTGCCTAGAAGGCGTGTGGCGTGCCGGTGATATCCAGCGCAGATACGTACGTAGTTGGGATTATTAATAGTCACGCCTCTGGTCAGGTAAAGTTGTATTACTACATGTACAATATAATAATCTATACCACAAGTGTGTCTGCTGGGGTGTGGCATGAGTAAATGTTGTCCTGTAGTTATGCTCTGGACATACAGCAACTCTGGATGTAACGGACTGTTTTGACAGGTCCCTTGAAGTCTGTTATAACGGTATTTTTATTGTAAAATAAAAGTGTACACATATCCAAAACCTATCCAAACTGGCCACAGTGTAACTAGCAGTGTTTTTTGGGGTAGCAACTTTCTTTCTAAATGCATTACCACTTATAGGTCATAAGTAACAATTTGTCACACATCATCACCACACATTTGTAGGAAAATCTATATTTTATTCACACGACTT